GCTTCGAGCCTCCCTTCTCCACCCCAAAGTGCCATAACCCAGCCGGGGCTTTCCTATCTCCTGTGTCCAGCCGCTCCCTCTTTTCACCCAGTGTCAACAGACCACAGAATGAGCAGCTCCCCAGCGTCCCGCAAAAGGATGCACTCGGGACTTCCCTGGCTGTCCAGTGGTTAAGACTCAGCGCTGCCGATGCAGGGGGTGCGGGTTCGAGCCCTGGTCGGGGAACCAAGATCCCACATGCCACGCAGCAGGGCCAAAATAGCCCCACAAAAAGCAAAACAAAACAGACAAACGAACAACGACGAAAAAACCAAAAGGATGCACTGACCACAACAGGGAGCAACAGAAACGTTACTGAAGATTTCAAAGCAGAGCTGAGGAAGGGGATCTCCAGCGCACAACTCACAGGAGACAACAACTCCATTTTTATTCTTCCATGCTTCTTTCCAGCCTGCCACCCGTTCTTCTGTCACCGCTCCCTCCAGCCTCCCTCCCCCCTCCCCCACACATCCTCTGCCTGGGGTGGCAGGTGGTGGCTGAGGGAGGACTTCCCTCTTTTCCAAGTCTCTCCTTCTCACTCTCCCCTTCTCACCCAAATTCCTCTTGGAGCGCCCTCGGGTTAGCAAACCAGTTTTCCTCATCCAGCACATCCTTTGGGTGCCTCCCTCCAGCCCAAGTTGTTAAAGGCTTTTCTCTCCCTGCTTGGAATCCTGATTAATACATTAGCTCCCTCTACCAACCCTCCTTCGAAAAAGGAAGCTCTTTTGAGAAAGGAAGGCGATGGAAATGTTGGGGCAGAGCTGTTGTGCCTGTCTTGCCGGGAGGGGGGAGGTGGGGTTCATATGCCTTGGCCTGTGCTGACCTCTGTTTGGAAAGGTCACTGGTTTCAAAGGTCTTGGCATGTCTGTCCTGAGCTCCTGTTTTTCCATCTCTGGGTTTCTAGCTTGTCCTAACAGCAAAAGGGATTTGTCTCTGGTGAAGGCTGCCAAAGGTAGCGGCAGGAATCTCTCAGAGAGCAATTACCTGGAAGAGCCCTCCCTGGAGAACAGGCTCTTTCGCTTCCGAAATGGAAAATTTGCACATCATGCCAATTATTCCAGAGGGCACTTGGACCTTTACCAGCTGAAACACTAACGAGTCTTAAAGGGAAAGTGAGCAAGGAACAAGGGCAACCTTCCAGGCGCTAGGGAAGCAGGCAGGTGGCTTTTGAAGAAAAAGCCCAAGGTAATAACGAGCTGTGTCACTGGTGGAACACACTGGAATGTAATGCTAAAACCCATCAGCGATTAAAGTTATACGCCCCAGTCTTTTTTTCTTTTTCTCCAAGAGAGTATAGGTTTCATCGCCAAGTTCTACAACCCTCTCCTTTACCCTAGGCCACAACAGTGAGAGGCCTGCGTACCGCAAAAAAAAAAAGACTTATGATATCAGAAACTTCCTAAAGTCCATACGTAAATTTGACTTGCTGAAGGTTAATTATTTATCACTATAATAGAATGGCTGAGGATGTTTGCAGGTTTCTTTTTTTTTTTTTTTTTTTGCGGTACGCGGGCCTCTCACTGCTGCGGCCTCTCCCGTTGCGGAGCACAGGCTCCGGACGCGCAGGCTCAGCGGCCATGGCTCACGGGCCCAGCCGCTCCGCGGCATGCGGGATCCTCCCGGACCGGGGCACAAACCTGCGTCCCCTGCATCGGCAGGCGGACTCTCAACCACTGCGCCACCAGGGAAGCCCTGCAGGTTTCTTTTTAATCCCATTGGCTTTGAGATGCACTATACGATTTATTTTGGAAACAGATTTGCTACCTCTGTTAGGCTTTGCCTAAGACAAAACTCAACTTTGCTTTCCCCAGATGAACACTGATTGGAGTAGTTCAGAGGTGTGCAGACCGGCGGGAAGAAGCTGGCTTGGGTTGATATCTTGCCGTGTGTAATCACAGACTGGATGGCCCCTCTATAGCTCGTTTGCAAGCACCCAAAGCTTCAATCCAGGATGAGTTAGAGGGAAAGAAGGCATCTTACAGGAACTGGTCAGACCTATCACACGTGGTTTGGCAGAGAGGACACTGAGTGGGGAGATCTGGTCGAGAGAGTTCTTTACACCCGAAGACATCAAATTAAGCTATGTCATTGGCGATGCTATTTCATTCTGAAGAGGGTCACCTACAGGCTGCTCTTTGCTTTTGAACCTGACCCCGATTTTAACTGCCGACAAATTCCTAATGGCAGGAAAAAGCAAGGGCCAGGATTGCTTCTAAACATCCCAGCAAAACATTTTACTCACTTCGCTGCCCCCAGAAATGGGCACTTTATTTTGACAAACAACAACAAAAATCCCTGATTCCCCATTCCCAACATATCTGAGCCCCAGAGTTATCTGTGCTTTCACCAAAATACATTCTAACGTGACTTTCTTTTGACTTGGCATTTTGTTTCTCTTTTTTAGATTGACATTTTTGTTTTAAAATATTTTCTTAGTGGTTTCTTTTTCCCAGCTCAGAGGAAAACAGAGCTAGACTTGGGCTTTAGCAAATTAAAACAGGTTATCCTTCTCAGAGCAGAGTTAAATGTGTTCCCAGAGAGATGCCAGTGCCACTTTATTTTTGGTTTCAGTTTTCTCAAGAGGACTTTTTAATAGTTCTTGGAGTAGGGATGGTAATCTCTGGAAAAAAGATAAACTGGGATATATTTACCCTACCCCTACTCTCTTTTTTTTTCTTTTACACTTGAGGTAACTAAATTGGAAGTTGGACATCATGAATCCTATAGTTTTACTTGGGATTTCCGGCTGTTGCCACTAAAGTTTTCTTTTTTGTTGGAATCAGCAATACTTAAGCCAAACCTAATGACATGTTCTCGAAGTACATTTGAAATGCTTTTTGCCAGGGCAGTAACTCTTTCCTTCTCTGGGCTGATGAAAAAGAGTGTAACAATGCTATTCCTAGTTTCTAAAGCCATATTTAGTTAGAATAAGGTTCGGCTGTATGTGGTAGAAAACCCAAACCACCAGTGGCTTAAGATGGAACTTCCTCTCTCCCATGCAAAGGGGAGGGAAGTGGAGGGAGTGGAATGGTGGGTGCATTCCTCAAAGTTCTCAGTGACCCTGGCCTCTTCCAGCTTGTCTCCCACTGTGACTAGGCTTTTGTCCTTATGCTCATTATCCCAAATGATGGCATGCATATTACCAGCCAGTAAAGTAAAAAAAGAAGAGGAAAAAAAAAAAAGGCAAAAAGCACCCATTGGGGAAGGTTTCCATCCACTGCCAAGAGAACACTTCTGCTTATATCTCACTGACCAGAACTTAATCACATGATCACACTTAGCTACAAGGGAGGCTGGGAAATGTAGTCTTTTTTCTGGATGGCTGTGTGCCCACTTAAAAATTATATTTGTAGGGGAATTCCCTGGTGGTTGGGCAACTAAAATCCCACACACAAACCGTGCAGCACGGCCAGAAAAAAAAAAAGCAAACCCCAAATTATATTTCTGTGACATACACTCTAGGTCTTATATTCTTAAAATTAATGTTTCTATCAATTTTACCTTAAGAAGTTTGAATCACCTTTTGAGATAACAATATAAGATGGTGTAAAATCAGTATTAGAAATACCCCATTCTATAATATTCATACTCTTTTACCAGTAATTTTGCTACAATTTAACTCAAAATTCAGAAAAAGTTTTAAAGAAAAAATATACTCATTACATAGTTATATATAATCAGACACAATAAAAGGGATCAGAATGCCAAAATATGGGACATTGATCAAATAAACCATGCTATACATCCTTAATGAAATATGCATCTATTAAAAATTATGTTTACAGGGACTTCCCCGGCAGTCTGGTGGTTAGGACTCAGTGCTTTTACTGCTGGGGTCCAGGGGTCCAGGTCTGATCACTGGTCAGGGAACTAAGATCCCGCAAGCCACATGGCACAGCAAGAAAAAAAAATTATGTTTACAAAGAGTCCACGGTAACTTAGAATACTGCTTACCCTGTTAAATAAAAATATAGGGATATAAACTTGCAGTACAGTTACAATTAACCTATATATAGAAAAACAAAAAACAAGTAAACAAAACAAAAAAAATCAAACATTAAAATCCAAACCCCAATGGCTTTTTGGTTAATAAGAATTTTAATGACTATTTTTCCTATATTTCTTAATTTTCCAAGTTTTCTTACTATTATACTTATTTATTATATTCGAAATAAAAAATAAATCCTATTTTCTTGTCTCTTTAGGTACCTACATTCAACCCACCTCATAGAGCTCAGTTTAATCCTTTTTCCTATACAAAAGCTTTTCCTGATTACCCTCTCTCTCTTTTGTATTACTGTTATTACCACTTAAAATGGAAAGTCAGCTTTTTTGACTTACCACCATCAAGGGGAATCCTCTGCTGGAGGAGTCTTGGGGTCTAAAGTGGGCTAGATCTCCCCTCTCCCTGCTCCTTGGCAGATATGATGCAGTCCTATGATCCGGGCATACTAATCAGATGGAGGGGATGGAGGGCAGACTAGGTGCAATAAGTTTGTTCATGAGTTGATTAACTGTTGAAAAGAGTGAGAGAAGCATAGTGGTTCATTATACCATTGTCTCTACTTTTGTATTTGTTTGAAATTTTCCATAATGTAATTAAAAAGAAAAAAGATACTTAGAATTTACTCCAGTTTCTGAAACTGGCTAACTATGCAACTTCAACAGTTCATTTAATTAGGGCATTAACAACTGGGAACAAAGTCATTAGTAAATTTTAAGGCAGGAGGCAAATGTTATCACCAGCATCATTTAGGGCTGTTTCCATTCTAAGTGAAGGAAAATCTAATTCAAAATGGTTTAAGCAATTTATTGGATCCCATTCGTGAAAAGTTAGAAAATACGACTCTCTTCAGCTTGTTAACCTAAAACAATAAACAGCCGGTTATTTTATCAGCAAAATGGGTTTATTTGGAAGTAGCAAAAAATTGCAGTTTGGGACATGCAATTACAGAAAACCACATGCAAGTCCCGGTAAAGCAAAGGAGAGGAGACTCTTTTATAGAAGAGAAGGGGAAGTTGGGAGGGGCTATTACAAACAAAATGTCCACTAGAGGAAAACTGGAAGTTTCCCAGTAGAGTGGCTTTTCATTGGCTGAGTCGTGACACTCTCTCATTGGCTGAGCTCTTGCCAAGCAAAGAGAATCTTTTTTCTTCTTTCTGGAGGTGATAAAGTATTGTCACTTCCTGCTGGAGACGCAAGGTACATCTCTTCTGGTTGGGATCTGAATTGTATGTGCATGAGATCTCCCCTTTCTGGCCTCCTGACAATTTTAGTAGGGCTTCCCTTTATTAGTTTTCACAAGGCGTTGTTCGAGCCAGTGTTCAAACATGCCATTGCACTGGGACTCTCTATATCTCTCTGTCTCTTGGCTCTGCCGTCTGCCAAGTTAGCTTCATCCTTGGACTCCACAAGGTGCTTCCCTCAGGTTCGCATCTGATCTGGTTCAAGTCTAGCAAAAACAAGAGAGTAGCAGTCGCTGTTGCCGCCCCCTCCCCCATGCATACACACACACACACACACACACACACACAATATTACATTCATCTTTGTATCCCACCATCACCCAACACAGTCCTCGCACATGAAAGGGGTTCAACAAACGCTTCTAAATGTTTTTTTGAATGGAAAACTCTTTGCCAGTGTACAACTACAGGGCCAACCAGGCAGACTTGGAAAAGGAATTTTGCGACACCATAGAGAGAAATTTCATTAGACCTGTCTGATGACTAATGTCTGATAATCCCATGGGGGATAATACCATGTGCCAGGCTTCCCAAGAGATAAGCCTTTACGAAAAAGAAAAACTTCCTCTTTCTGTGGGATGATTACCAATAACAGCAGCTAGTCTTGACTGAGGGCTTACTCTATGCCCTTCACATTTCATCCTCACAATAACCCTATTATTATCCTCATTTTACAAATGAGGAAGTTGAGGCACAGAACAATTAAGTCAATCACCGTAGGTCATCTGGCTAGTAGTAACCTGAGCCAGGATTGAATTCTGGTGACAGAGCTCGTTCTTTTAATCCCTCTCCTTCTTGGTCTTGCCGATACTTCCAAGCACTCTTTCTCAAACACTCTCCCTTGCAAGTCAGCCTCCAGTGCCTGGCCGTTAAGTGTTACAAGTTCTCACAGGATTCTTCCTAGGCCCTCCTCTCCTCTCACTGTCTAGATTCTATCCCTGTGCAATTGCATTAAGGCCCTTGGGTTCAGTTGCCATCAATGTCAGGACTGCATTTGCCCACATACAGTTGGCCCCTTCTGTACCCATGGGTGTGGAACCCACGGATACAGAGGGCCAACTATGCCATTTTGTATAAGGGACTTGACCTTCCTTAGATTTTGGCGTCCTTTTGGGGAGGGTTCTGGAACTGTTAGGGGAACCACTGACCAAAACCACACACCCTGGCCAGATATGATCCTAACCACTTGCGTGAGTTATCTTACAACAGGAGGTCCTGGTAAGGGACGTGGAACTAATAAGCTACCGCCAACCGGAAGAATTTGGTAAAGGTCAAAAGGAGAGAGGAGACTCCAGTCTGTATGTCCTACCAACCTCTCAGAATCCTTCTTGCTGGAATCCATCTTGGCTGAGCAATGCACGGGCCACCAGGAAGGACCCTGAGTCAGAATGATTGACCAGAGACAACCTGGAAACTAACCCCATTACCCTAAACCCTGAGACTGTGAGCCACGTGGCAGAGCAGATCTCCTGGGTTCCCTTACCCTACTGTTCTCCACCCGGGCACCCCTTCCCAATAACGTCTCTTGCTTTGCCAGCATGTGTCTCCTCGGACAATTCATTTCTGAGTGTTAGACAAGAGCCCTGGGAGGGATCCCCTTTCCTGCAACAGAACTAATCCCCCATGGATACTGAGGGACGACTGTACAGCTAAAAAAGTGACTATTCTAGCTTAACCAAACGGGGGCTTATTTTTCTAGTAAGATTAAAAATACTATATATCTATATATGTACATGTATAGCTATACATGTATACATATAGCTGATTCACTTTGTTATACAGCAGAAACTAACACACCATTGGAAAGCAATTATACTCCAATAAAGATGTTAAAAAAAAATACATGATCTGGGCTCTGCCATGTCATCAGCGTCCTAGGTACCCTTGACTGTTCCTCTCCACCATCCTCACATGTAGCTTTCATTCTCATGCTCTTTTTGCCTTAAATAACAAGATAGATGCTCTGCCCCCAGGTTCAACTTCATATTCCAGGCAGGTAGATGGGGGAATGACAAAAATTTATGAAAGCCTAATCTATCACTTTGTATAAAGTTTCCTGGAACTCTTACCTGACTACTTCTGTTTACCTCTTTGGTCAGAGCTGACAATTTCCAGCAGCCAGGAAGTCAGGGAAGGTATATTTAACTGGGCACATGGTATCCTGAACAAATTTAAGACTCTGAGAGAAGGGAGGAAATTTAAATATATACAGTGAAATACTATTCAGCCATGAGAAAGAAGGAAGGAAATTCATCCATTTGCATCCAACAACATGGATGGAACTTGAGGGCATAATGCTAAGAGATAAGTCAGACAGAGAAAGACAAATACTATATGATATCACTTGTATGTGGAATCTAAAAAGCTGAACTAAAAACAGAGAATAGACTGGTGGTTACCAGGGGCTGGGTGTGTGGGGTCGGGTGGGTGGGGGAACTGGGAGACGTTTAAGGGTGCAAACTTGCTACTAGTAAATAAAAAAGTTCTGGAGATCTAATGCATAGCATAGTACTTATAGTCAACAATGCTCTATTATAAACTTCAAAATTGCTAAGAGACTAGATTTTAATTGTTCTCATCACAAAAAAGAGATGATAATTAGGGGACGTAATAGAGGTGTTAGCAAACACTATTGTAGTAATCATATTGCAACACAGAAATGTGTCAAACCAACACACTGTACACCCTAAACTTACACAATGTCATATGTCAATTATATCTCAACTGGGGAAAAAAAGGAAGAGCAATGATATTGGGAAGGCAATCAACACACCATTTATATACCACTGACCTCAAATTTATAATTCTATCTCAGACCCCTGCACAAATTGAAGTTGAGTTGAGTTTATGCTGGACTCTCTTTCCTGTTGCAAAAGTATTACTGAATGAAGTCTAGCCTCACCACTTTAGCTAGTGTTCAGCTTTGTTTATCTTTTTTTTTTTTTTTTTTTTTGCGGTACGCGGGCCTCTCACCGCTGTGGACTCTCCCGTTGCGGAGCACAGGCTCCCGACGCGCAGGCTCAGCGGCCATGGCTCACAGGCCCAGCCACTCCGCGGCATGTGGGATCTTCCCGAACCGGGGCACGAACACGTGTCCCCTGCATCGGCAGGCGGACTCTCAACGACTGCGCCACCAGGGAAGCCCCAAATGAGTAAAATTTAAAGACCTCGTTGGCTTTATTCAGAGGTTCATAAATTGGGGAGCATCAATCTAGCAATAGATAGATAGGAACCTCAAAGAACTATACAAGGCAAGAAATTTTATAGGCAGAAGGGAGCAGGAACAAGGAAGTTATACTGGGCATTTGCTGATTTGTTAAGGCAGGGTTTCTTTCCTTACATGGAGCAAAGGGAAGTCTTAGAAGAGCTGGGCCAGGTAATTTGTGCTGAGCAGGCAAGAGCTGATGGGTTGGCTTAGGTCTTCCTTTTCCAGGAGAGCCCAACATAAAAACTTAGTGAAGTTTTGGTTTGATGACATGTGGTTTAGCGTGAGTGACTCCATCTTGGCCCTAATCTGGTTACTTTAACAGTCTTCATCTTGGTTTACTGCCTAGCTATTGCCCCAACTTACTCCAGGTCAGGTTTCTCATTGTGATCTTTGTCTGCCAGCTTTTTAAATTTACAAAAATTTCTTCAAACTGAAGTAAATAGAGTGGACTTGTTTGGGGCCCACCAGGGGGTCCCTTTTGTCCACCCAACCTTCAAGCGTGCTGTATTAAGACTTTTGTTTCAATCCCATCAATGTCCAGTTTTATTTATCTCATTTCTAAGGATTTCCATCCTGCTGGGATGCATCCCTTGATCCGCCCCTCCCCCCACCTTTCCACATTCTCTTGTTCATTAACCTAGAGTTTTTATTAGCATCTGTAAAGCCCATGAGGAGAAACTGAGACAGCAAATTCGATAAGGCTTCTGGGATTATTGCTGATTTTGCAGCAGTAAAGTTACACAGGGTGCCCAGTGAAAAAGCGCACCCCTTAACCACAGAATTTACCATGACCTGGGTTACAGGTGTGAAAATTGATAAACAGAAACCTCATTTAAAATGGAGTCAGGGGCTTCCCTGGTGGCGCAAGTGGTTGAGAGTCCACCTGCCGATGCAGGGGACACGGGTTCATGCCCCGGTCCGGGAAGATCCCACATGCCGTGGAGCGGCTGGGCCCGTGAGCCATGACCACTGAGCCTGCGCGTCTGGAGCCTGTGCTCCGCAATGGGAGAGGCCACAACAGTGAGAGGCCTGCATACCACATAAAAAAAAATAAAAAAAAAATGGAGTCAGGATGAGACTTCCCTGGTGGTCCAGTGGTTAAGACTCCACGTTTCCACTGCAGGGGGCACAGGTTCGAATCCTGGTCGGGGAACTAAGATCACACATGCTGTGTGGCCAAAATAAACTAATTAATTAAATAAAATGGAGTCAGGAGGCCAGACATACCTTTGCATCTCCAACAGGAAGAAGATTACTACTTTACTACCGAGCAGGAGAAGGAAGAATTTCTCCTTGCCCAGCAACAGCCCAGCCAATGAGAGGCTGTCACCACTCAGCCAATGAAAAGCCACTACACTTGGCACTCCCAGTTTCCTCCAATGGACTCTTTATTTACAACAGCCCCTCCCAATACCTCCTTTTCCTTTATAAAAGAACATTCTTTTCCTTTGTTCTCCAGACTTGCTGGTGCTTCGTCAAAGATTTTATGTCCTGAATTGTAGTTCTTTGCTGTTCCCAAATAAACCCATTTTGCTGCAGGTGAATACCCTGGTCACCATAAAGCCAGTCCCACACGGCTTGCATACAGAGCATACCAGCCGCTTCATGTGCGGTGTTCACTTGGCCTTTATAGGGAGAGTCAGACTGTCTCCCTTCTCAGGGTAAAAAGACCTTACATTCACTTTTAGTCATTCACCAGACTGGTGTTTCCTTGGGAACAGCCTGTTATGTTTCTGAATCTTGCACAGCCACCTGTGATTGCTCCATCGTGAGCTGTGGGTCCTACACCAACCCAAACATGCTCTTCCACTTTGCAGCTTTCAAAACCAGAGACAGTGCTCCTAAATTACTCTCATAATCTATTCTAGTAAAGGTTCTTCAGGAAACTGATGATACCAATCCACAAAATAAGATTCCTCACGCTGTACCCTCTAGTTTCAATTGTTTCTTGATTTTGCCCTCCCCCAATGTGGACCACCTCCTTGGTGACCAGAGGTA